GTATGTCCTGATGCTGGTATTATGAAGCAGATGAAGTCCCCCAAACTCAACCATAGGAGCCGGGAAGGAACCACTTGCAACCAGAATTCAAGAGAAGGGATGTATCTGCTGCACACAACTGTACAAACAGGGCAGTATCATCCCAAACCCAGTATTACAAGGAGGATCCCACATAGGACAACTGTCCACCTGGGATTAAGAAAATGGAAGGAAGAAAACTAGCTTTGCCTCTTCTCACTAAATGGATAAATGGTAAAAGTCTACAACACACTCAAGAGGAAGTGGTAAGGACTTCCTTGCTTCACTTGGAGAAAAAAGGGGGTAAGTAAATGTGGTGGGGAGTCCAGAGGAACATCACACTGGAGAAAGTGCAATGGGTGTCCATGATTCCCTATTTTGAAAAAACAGGCTGTCCCCAATTTATTCAATCAGGGAACAGCAGGGATGAAAGTCCATGATTGATGGTCCACAATGAAGTGAAGGCCCAGCATGGCCAGGTGGTTAGAGCACTCGACTCGCAGATAGGCTTTGTGTAGCTTTGTGCAACATTCAAAACAAACAAACAATGGAGTGAAATTTATGGATACTAAGAAACACATGTATATACATACCACTGGGTATGCAACTAGTGGTCTTGCAGAACACCCTATCTCTACAGTGAGCATTATAGTGCAGCCAGTAATTAGTGCAGGTTTGGTTTGAGGCAAAGTGTACCTGACCAGGCAACACCTGCCACACAGTGGGATCCCATTAGCAGGGTAAAAAAAGAGAGGGTCTCTGAAAAGAAAACATAAAAAAAATGATGTGATAAGATTTACCCTAGTCAAAGACAGACTGATGTGTGTAAAATCACCACGGGAGGGGGATAACATTTAACTGAGAAAGATACAGCCAGATCATGCACATAATGAACAACAAAGGTATTGGGAGTAGTCTACATTCCACACTCTGGCCTGAACGATTTCTCCAACAATGGACAGTGAGGAGGAGAAGGAAATAGATCTTGAGGGAGAGATAGCAAATGGAACATATCAACAAAGGTTGAAAAGGAGAATTGAAAAGGGCATAAATATCAAAATTAAGATCCCAATCAGGCAAGTCAAAGGAACATGGAGGTAGCATGACTCGAAATAAGTGGAGAAGGAGAGAAATGACAAGAGAACATAAAACTTGGAGAAACGGAAGGTGTTCGACAAGGCCACCCAATAGCTAGACACAATCGAAGTGGACAAGCTTTTGTCAAACAACCAGGTGAAGAATTGGGAAAGATGAGGAATGGAAGCCATGTCAAAAATACCAAAGGCACAAGGTAGAGTATCACCTTTTGTAAATGGACATGGAAGAAGGTCTTATGGATCTGGAAATGAAAGATGCAACACATGGAGCCAGTCCCTGGGCTGAGGCAATAGACCTGACAAAAGCCATGCATGAAGAACGAGGGTGGTGACATCTGGATGAACAATGCCTAACCAATGTTGATGGAATATAGACTGAGACAGAGGTAAGGGTAAGGGAGGTTGTACAAGTAAAGGTTGGAGCAGTGGGAACCATGTTTGTGCTGGCCGATACAGAGGCCATCCATATCCCACAGAGGAAGAGATGTAGGCTAGGCACAACTGAGGTTCAAATTGAAGAAAAACCCAAATAAACAAGGTATTGAATAAGGGCAAGAACAGCCTGCTCCTCTTTTTTCATAAAACCAGCTTGTGCTGCTTCTTGTAGGAGCAGACGAGTGTTGTCTCTGGACTGTAAATGGGAATACGTGAGCAGGAGTCAGTCATCCATGTATTGATGAGTGCAAAGACCCATACAGTGAAGATGTTAGACATAAGTTCTTACCACTGGCAAAACACATAAGGAGCCGAGGTTAGTCAAAACAGTAGGAAAGCTCGACTTCTAGCTATAAATAACTCTTGGCAATGTGGGTACTGGGAGGACGAATCCTGAATTATGGAGTACGAGGAGAAAAATTGGATTCTAGTATCAAAAATGTAAGAAATGTGGCTGAAGCATAGCTCAGCCCTACAAATGTGAAGTAATGAACACATCAGTGATGTAGCAATGCAAAAAATTAAGCCCTACCCTGAAGAAAATTATAAATATAAGGTACATATTTAACAATGACGAAGACAAAAAAACATTATTCAAATAGAAAAATGAATTAGATGTTACTAGTAGGAATTATACATAAAGTACAAACTATCTAAAAATACTTAGTTAACAAAGTAATCATTAATATTGAATTGAAACCTTTGAAGTTTACAAAATAATAAAGAAAGTGTAAATTGATTAAAATTACCTCTAAAACAATGTAATAATCAATACCTAACTTACAATAAATTTAAATTAACTTAAACAACAAAGAACACATAAATATCTAACTTACCAAAGTCCAAGCACTGATAACATGAAATACTTAATTCTCCCGTGTGTAAAGAAGAACAAAGCCACACAAAGGGTATCTGAGACACACCTACCACAGATACTGCAACCAGGTGCAAAGTGTACAAGTTAAACAACTTACCACTGATGCACTGGGAGATCTGGAAGCAATAGGAAGAAAGGAGGAGAAGAACAAACCTCCACCAAAGTGAATGACATGGAGGCATGGCAACAGAAGCAGGAAAAAGAAAACTAGTAAAATCACCCTCTGTCTCAAACATATAGAAAAAACTGAATATGCATCAACCATTGACCTGAGTAACCAGCTGTAAAAAAGGGGTACGAAAAATGAAATCTATTGAAGAGGTGTAGAGTGTGGCAGACCAAAATAAAAAGGTGCCAGAAATAGAGAGTACAAACTGCCTTCTTTATGACTGAATTCTCCCTCAGCAATAATGACAGGTTGAATAGGAGAAGAAATTGCCTGCTGATCATATGAATCTAGCTCCCTGCAAATTAAGGCCTATACCTCCTCTGCAGATAAAGTCAAACCTGATTCCTTGGAAGTCGTACCAGTAGCATTGTCGACTGTAATGGGAACTATTGTAGTCAATACATTGAATCGCAAATTCATACAAAGTTCACATATAATTCAGTAACAAGAAACAATTGTAAAAATAGAAAAAAATATCCTTGAAACAACTGAATGCAAACACAGTAAAAGAAAACTGTTTTAAAAAATTGAAATGGCAAATTAAGCATAATCATAAATAGTAGCCACATGCAAAAAAAACCCATCGAAATGAAGTTTTGTCCATCAAGAAAGTGAGGATTGGGCAGGAATAGCAGAGGGGGCTAGCTGTGCCAGTATAGGTGGCACAATACTATTGATAGAGAGTAGTCACATGATATGTACATGTTCAATAGTGCTGAGAAATTGATGGGTATATAGATTGGTGTGCTGAGCGTAAAAATGTTTCTAGCAATGCTTAGAGGACAGAGGGAGGTAAAACCATATTGGAATTGGTAGATAATTAATTCAAGAGACATGGTCAGTTGAATGGACAAATGAGTGTGTGTAAAATAATGAATGTAAAAAAGAGTAACATAAGCCAAATGACTATGTAAAAGTGAAAATTAAAGTTGAAGTAAATGAAAAGATCAGCAAATGCTTTGACTATTTGAAGAAAAACATATGGAGCAGATGCCAAACTGCAGAGAAGAGCAGTGAACTAATAAGCCATCTCCCAATGATGTGATAATGGACAAACAGGGATAGGAAGATAAGCATCTTGTTTATCCACCTTTGTCATCCAATGGCCTCAGTAAAAAAAATCCATAACATCCTCATGTTTTTCATTTTGATATGAGATGTATCCAAGTAAAGACTGAGTTAAGACAGTTTTCATTGGAACCACAAAGAAATGATAATGAAACTTGGAGAAGTGTAATAAATTATTTTGCCTGTTCCTTTTTGGAGGAGATTTGAGACTTCCTGGTCTAGAATTTGTGAGCAACAAGCTTGGAAGGAAGAAGAAAAGACATTCAGACTGTACTGAAGGATCTGTAGAACCCAATGATCAAACAGACGAACCAATGATCTGAGATAACTCCCAACAGTCCAGAAAGGCAGATAATACATGGAAGAAGCTCTTTAGTGATCAACTGAAAACTTTCAAACCAAACCAAAATGGGCAGGATGGAAAATTCACAATAGGTCAAATTAGATGAAAACAAAAAAGAGCCCACCAAAAATCAAACTGTGGGTCAAAACTTGAGAATTAAGATAATTAGTGGAAGATATCCCCACTAAAAGTTTACATACTTTTATTTCTGAAAGCATCATAAATAACAAGGATCAAGAAGTGGAATACATAAAAGTATAAGAGAAAAAATCAAAGCAGCAGAAGTGTTTAGAGAATTAGGGCTTGCTGGCAACTCCTACTCTTTACACGATGATGGAAAACATACCTGAGCAAAAGATTTTTATTTATCACCATCATGAGAAAAGAGTGAGTGTTCTGCAAGAGAGTAACCACATGAACATAAAGCCCACCAAGGACACAAAGAGACAATTCAGAATTAACAGCCTGAATATCTTAATCCATAAATGTTGACAATGCAAGCAAAGGATCTCTCTGCACATGAAAAGTATGCCCCATGAGTAAGATCTCCAAAATGTCTAGAATTTATGACCTTAGTAGAAACACTTGCTGTAATTGTTAACATCAGAAGTTATAGTGAATGAAATTAACAGCATGTCTGTCCAAAAAATATAGCTTATAACAGAAAAGTACAGAACATATACATTCTCCTAACAAAATGCAATAAGTCAATCAGAGATGGAAGAGTGGAGTAAATTGAAATATGCTCTGCATTGTGTCAAGGGCATTAAGAAACTAAAGTCACATGGTTGATGATAGCACAAAAGCAAATTCAACAAGAAAAGGCTTTTAATATTTCAGAGATAAGCCTACATGAATTTGTTTCTTTTACATGATTAAAATGTTAATTTTATGGTAATATGTACTTTACCTTTGGTTAATATTGTAATTCTGATATAAACTTGCATTTTAACTTTGTTTAATAAGGTTATTCTAAGTGAAAGTGTACTTCACCTCTGGTTTCAATGCTCTTGCAAACACTTCATCCAAGTTCAGGTACATGGTGGTTGTGGCTATTACGGCATCTGAAGTGGCACAATGAGAAATTCCTGAAAATAAGCCAAAAGATAAGCAATCCAATCAACATATAACAATTTCAAATGCTTTCAGGGGTTCTCCATACAGATGACACTATGCTACTAAATCTTTATTCATTCTAAACACCACAACAATATCAATACCTAAAACAAAGTTAGCTTTTTTTACAATTTCTAGTTTCATTTAAAGTGTTAATATTATTTTTTTTTTTGAGAAATACAAAATGCTATTTAGTAGGTGAAAAAGCTTTTATTTTCAATGCTATAAAATATAATAAAAAAACATATCAGTACAAAGTTATCTAAACACTTACAAAAATGTGATATTAAAAGCTTGGTAAGTATGTATCATTTTGGGGTTAAGCTACCTGACAGGTCAATTCCATCAACAGGAATATAGCCTGACAGATAAGTCAAACTGCAGCTAACAGGAACATTTTTATTGTTGAGGAATATTGGTTTTGTATTTAGACTAGTTTTAGAGTTAACATGACTTATGCCCTTAATGTTTGGAAAGGACACTTGACTCTCAACTTTATTAGGACCCATGTCTGGCTAGTTAGTTTGACTACCTTTCTCAA